TTACACTTAGCCCACGCGGAGATTGCGTACAACCACGCTGTTTCGCCAGCCACGGGGATGTCGCCATTCTATTGTGACCTCGGCTACCACCCTCGTGTACCTGCGGATTTCCTACGACCATCGCGGTTGCGCCCAGACACTCGTTGCCCTGCGCTTGACGACTGGATCGCCCACATGGCGGCGATTATGAAGCACGCACACGAGAGTTTAGCCGACTCCCAGACTCGCATGGCCGCACGAGCGAACCGATCACGAACGGATCATCCATTCAAAGTCGGTGACGATGTGCTCGTCGACGCACGCCACTTACAGCTTGAAGCAGATACGCTTCTCAAGTTCAGGCGTCGTTTCTTCGGTCCATGCCGCATCCTTCACGTCGTCGGTTCTGATACTGCCGCTAGTCCGGTCAGCTTCCGTGTGAAGCTACCTGATTATCTTCGACAGGCTCGCGTACACGATGTTTACCACGTCTCCTTGTTGCGTCCTTATCGCAGATCGTCCGAGCGCTTCGCCGGACGCCCTTATGAGCGCCCTCCACCTATCATGGTGGACGGTCACGAGGAGTTCGTTGTTTCCGACATCGTATTACGCCGAGTTACCGACGATACCCCTCCATGCATCGAGTACCTTGTGCGCTGGAAGGGCTACCCTGATGAGGAGGCTACTTGGGAGCCCCTCGAGCACTTGCAGCACGCCAGGATGTTGGTGCGTACATATGATCGTGCTCGTCGTGCTGAGACATCTGCCTCTACTCAGCCGACTGACCCTCTTCCTCCTCCTCCGGCTGAGGAGATTGCTGAGGACGCGCCCGCTCCCTCTGAGGCCGTTCCTCAGCCGCAGACGGTCGCCTCCGAGCGTCCACAGCGCACTCATCGTCGCCCTTCGCGTTACGATGACTGACACTCTTATCCTCTATCTTTCCCCACTGACTCACACCATCAGGTACTCCATCATCATCTCTTCTTCAGGATGTCAGCGTTTTGCGGCTCTGCTTCGACATCGACTCCACAGCTACTTCATCGACGTCATCGACCACTTTGACGACTTCAGCTACTTTGGACGTGACTACTTCACGTCACCACCCTACCCTGCATACTCCCTTGCCTCTGTCGCATGATGGTTCTCACTTAGCTGGGTCTCTTTGAGTTGGGCTCTCCCTTGGTATCGCATAGGCATTGGGAACGTAGCGTTATCTTGGCTTCCTTGCTCCCAGATCTAGCTCCCTCCTCCCCCAATCGATGAGTTGTGTGTATGTTTCCCTCACCCACTACCCCCATCACCCTAGTGCCGGCCCTTGCATGCCTTCAGTTAGGCATATCTCCACCCTATTCCAGGCTCCCCCTTTTTTCATGGTCGACCCTACATGGTGTCATCCTTTTGTCGAGCATTACCCGCCCTGATGGTCTATCTGTTAGGGTCCTTGGTTTTGTTTCGCTACCACTCTCCCACCTTGAGCCTGATGACCTATCCCACCTTCATGTGTGACTGCCCTTAGGAGTTTCGATTCTTAGGCTGCATTCACCCCCTCTGAGACCATCCCACTCTTAGTGGTTCAACGACAGGACATTATCTTGTGCCATATTGCTCTTTTCCTTTCAGCACTAAGGCAATTGCCTCCAGGACTTTAGGATTGTATCATACTACATTTCATTTTCTGCTGTTAGCTAGGATATGGATACCAGACATTTGCTTTTCTTTTGACATTATGTAGCTTAGGATGCATCGCATGGACTCCGCATAGACCTTGCTCCTCATCCTAGATTTCTCAACTTTCTTTATTGCAGAGTTCCGCTGCTTTTGCGGATAGCGTGTTTATGGCTCTTGCGATCCATTACAGGTCTGAGAATCGTGCAGCGGGCCTTCATCTGCTCTGGCCTACAGCCAGGGCCTATTTGGCTATTTGCCAGTTCGGCCTGTGGGACCAGGCCGTGGCCTGACCCCACAGGCCGTGTGATGTTTCAGTCCTGCCCGGTACCACCGTCGGTACCAGGCCAATCCAGTCAGTCAGTCCGCTGGGGGTATACCCCAGCTGTACTCTGTTTTTCACTCGTTCTTCATTTGCATAGATTGGAGTACGTGTGTGTTGAGTCTGCGTTGGAGCTGCGCTGTCCCTTCCAGCTCCATGTCCATCTCCCCCATCCTCATCCCTTCGTCTTGATCCTGACGGACCGCCATCCCGGCGGGTCCGTCACATTCCATGACTTCTTTTCAGCCTGTATTTCCCTGGATTCCTGAGAGACTTCTTCCATTTGTCCCGCATTTACTACCTCTTGGGATACTTCTTGGGATAGTTTCGGGATCCGTGTATCTTCTGGACCCCCTTCCCAATCGCTGTCATCGGATTCATCATTGTGGTCCGATTCAATACCATAGGGGGCTGCTCTTTTTCTGTAAGATGTAGAGTGTTTTGCGGTTTTACCGCTTTTTTTGGTTTTTCTGCTTACTAGTTTTTTTTTTTTTTTTTTACTGGATGGTTTCGTGATTAAGGTCCGATTTCTCTCAATCAATGCTGGCAGGCATCCTCTAGACACCATCCAGTTTCTTCTATGCATCATTCTGTATCAATTTCTGTATGGGACGCTGGACCCATTTTCAAGCAAGTGATGCTCCCCACCAATAGATGGAGCCTCTCCCCAGGTGCTAGCATCGCTAGCACTGGTGGGTCTGGTTTTTTTTTTTGTTTTTTTTTTTTTTTTTCC